GGGGGGGGGGGGGGGAAGGAGTAAAATATAGCTCTTTTGCATTACATTCGTGGAAACAAATTTTGAATGTAAAAAAAGAAAACGCACCCCACCCCCCACCCCCCACCCCACAGAACATTAATATTCCGACAGATATTAGAAATCGTGCAATTGCAGTGATAGGAAAAAATGATTCAATTAGCGTGTAGGCAGATAATGGTTTTTAAATGTCGATAAATCATAATTTTTTTCTAAACAAAATGGTTGAAACCAATAAAATACTGTATTTCAAAAGCACAACAGTTGACCCCAAAATTTCAGATCGTAGACTGTACATCTTTCTGTACTTCTTTTTTTTTAGGGGATGCATATTTTATCTTGAAAGCAATGATTTCTTTATCTTTCTCAAGGACAATTATGTTCAGGTGCCCGTGAACGAAGAAAATATCTTTTCAAGGCCTTATAAAACCAGGTGATCAGCAACTAAGGCCCCGTTCCCATAGGTACTATCGGTCTACGTATGTCGATCCAACTTCGCGGGACTTTCGCTGAATGCAATCAGATTGATAGGTTGACGTGCCTCCTCTTGTCGTTCAGTAGAATACAAAAATGACTGATGATTATACAAGTGCGTTAGAAACAAGAGAAAGCGTGTTATTCAGTTAAGCTGATTGCACTCAGCGAGAGTCCCCGCAGAGTTGGCTCGATCCGCGTAGACCGATGGTATTTATAGAATGAAGCATTACAAACTTTCTGGAGTCGCGATGAGAGGCCGGGGGCTCATTTATCGTGGCCTATGACAGGTGTATTAGATAAGGAAATCATTTTTCAACGAGAAAGCAAACATGAACCTTTTAAAATGTTCTCGCGGTCGCCGGAGACGCATCGGCGCCGTTTGAATGGGTAAATATATATATTGCACCCCGCCATTTCCTCTCATCTCATAGGGCTACCCGCTTGTTGAGACCTCTCCGCGCAAGAGGGATGAAGGCTACGTGTGTGTGTGTGGGTGGATGGGTGTGTGTGCGTGTGTGTATGCATGCATGCGCGTGTGTGTGTGTGTGTGTGTGTTAACAATTCTAACACTTTCAACATATGAAGATAATGTTCGTCAAATTCAGGCCCTGCCGACTATTGCACGCATAAAAAAAGAAAAATTTCTGTGTCACAGTTGAAATCGCTCAGAAGGTGAATGAACATCTAGTTACTTTTACGGCTCATGTGAAGTATTTAGCCCTTCAAGCATGTTTCACAAAGCATAATAAAAAACCTTGATTTTGCTACAAGGTGGGGCTAAGTAATTAATACCAAAACTTGAAAAGTGATTTTTAGAAAGCAGATATTTTAAAACATCTACTATTACAACGCCCAAACCCCTGTTCGAGAGGCTCTCAAAATGTAAACGCATCATAGATTAAATTTATTACAGCGACATTATCGTTTTTAACTCACTGGGAGACCCCGCCACCTTCTAAAGAAACGTCCAAAAATGAACGCGACTCAAAGTTTAATTGCTGTACACAATAAAAGAGATTTCCTATCTCTAAGGCGGAGCGTTTGGATTTATCATCTCTTTTAATCCGTCAGAGTTAAACAAAGATAAGGACTAAATGGCTTATGATAGGGCAAGATATGATGTGTTTTACGTGTTCTTTATATCGCGTTTGTTTAGCTAATCCCATGTTTTCGTCAGTTTTATCTACGTGTGATAAGCCTGAACCTCCAAGTACGATCTTCGTGCAAAAACATAAAAAAAACATGTTGATGCTTCAGCAGAATAAAAGTGCAAAAGAAAAAGGGGGTAGTTTATTTTGAATTACCACTGCCCCTTGGGGTGTTATGCATGAAAACCCTGAAGACAATCGGCGAGGACAAACATTAAGAACGTGAAACTGCGCAAGCCTTAGAAAAAACAACGTCGTGTGGATCGAGGCTTTTGAAACTGACTGCCCTCCTCTAGCCGTCTAATAGCCGTCTAAGAAGGTAGGATAACTATTTAGACCCTGGTATCGCAGGATCTTTAGTATTTTATATAGAATTGACGAAGAGTCGATTCAACACTTTTAAGAGCCAATTTTGCAGAGAGTAGATAACTAAAGACAATAGATCTGTCGCGGCTCGCCTGTATTTCTTTGAGCCTAGCGTTTGGCGGGAAAACTACGTAGAAAAGAGTCGACTTTACTTATATGTAAACGCGCCTTATGACCCAATTGTATTATAACTGCTTGTATAAATGATTCAGTTTTTGACAGATGTGAAAAGGACGCACGTTTATCACGTTTAAGTACAGGACATGGGATTATTTTTAAGCTCTCAGGTATCACAACAACAAGAACGTATCTGCGTTGTAAACGTTGAGACGCAGAAAAGTAGATGCACTATTTGTCAGTTCAAAAAGTGCGCTCTGACCTTGGCTGGAAAAGACAGCAATAAAGACATTTGTCATCTTAATGGTATAATAACTTGTTTGCGACGCTTCGGTGTCACCAGTTTCGAGGAAGTAATATTTCTTTAATCATTATCCCAATGTATAAATACAGCAAATGGGAATATAAATAAAAGGAATTTACATTGTGTTGCCCAAAATAGAATGATTATAATATTTTAACACCTTTATTATGTCATTATAAAGTTTGCAGCATGCAATGACAGGTCTATTTTTAATTTGTTATGTTCCTTTTATATTTTAGGATTTTTTGCAAGAATGAGGTTGTTTTTAATTATTTTTTTGGAAACTTGATTAAAACGATAAGTCTTGGACCATGGGTACAGGGATTTATTTAATATTATAAACCCATTGGAAGCGTCTCCCCTTCCATTACATAAGACACCACCTGCAGAACTCCTTCAAGTGAACAGATATAGATTATACTGTTTATAATGTTGTTACAAGAATAGGATAAGACTTGAAAACGAAGGTGGGGGGGGGGGGAGTTCAAATATGCAGGAAAAAATCATGAATGAATAGAAACGGCAACACTGTCACTATATAGAGTCTATCACACGTGAGCCTGGGAAAGTCTGTGTAATTGAAAGTGCACGTGTAATAATATAACTTAGTGACCGCGGGTTTATTGACTGCATACAAGGGCAGAATGCACGGTTCGGGTGACGGCCATTTTGAAAGTTGATGACGTAACTTTGAAAATTGATGACGTAATCTACCACCTGCAAATGTTGCCGCAGCTTGCCTTGTTCTAGTGTCCGTCTTCCGTGTTTTTGTTCCGCAAATGACCGTTCAATGATCATTGGATATTGGTGATATTATGCCTGTTATCGATTTTGTATTTATACAGGAAGGGGTTTTTTTCATCGGATCGGCCGTGATTTGTAGACGGCGATCCTGAAGCGACAGGTGTTTGAAATGTAGAATATGCATTCTCGTGCATCATTGTGAAAGTTGCAATCAAATTGGCTTCTTCAAGGAGTTCTTCTGGTTTTCCCCAACACTGACTTGACACCTCTTATTCTTGTGTTTTTGAACAGTACGATTTTCCATTTTATATATATTACAAATATGCTAAATGGTGCTAATGCATTGCGTATTTTGCAACGGGTATGTGTAAGTGTTAGACTAGAAATATTTTTGAGATCCTAATTGGGCCACCTAGTGACATTGATTAAAAAGGGGTAATTGTGGGAAATCCAGGTTATTTAGAGATTTACAAAACGTCTATTTGACTAGTTCACACTCACTGGTAACTAGCCGGGCTCGCACGTGTCTTCTACAGTATGCGTTTATAAATGCTACGTAAAGCATACGAGCAATTATCACGAAAGTTATTTGACTTATTTTAGGACTCGTTTGAGGTCCAAGGACTACATCAAAAGCATTCTGAAAACTTATATGACCATCAAAGTTTATTATTTTGACATATTACGCCATGCGTACGAATACCTTTATGGAAGGATTTTTTCTTGCAGTTTTATGATGGCAATGGCTTGGATCTGTTTCAAAGGGGAACTTAAGTCCGAAAATTGGTCTAAACTTTAAGACCAAAGCTTCGATCTACTTCAATGAATCAATGCAGGTTAAATTGACCCAACTAAATAGAATATAAGTACGAACACTTTAGTCATATCTTTCTTATAATACAACAGGCGCAACAGCTCATTTAAAATTGATTTACCTTGAAGTAGAATAATATATTATTATGTGATGTGATGTGTGAAAACCACGCACTTACACCGTTCGTATACAAATTTAGCCTAGTTTCCATGCAATTAACGTCTATTCACTTCTCTACTGCAGTGTAATACCCTGTAATGTTATTATTTGCATGTAAATATTTCTGAAAGAATGTTGTTCACTTTTTAATTGCTCTAGACATCATTTTTAAAGACACAGCTTTTGCGACACGGTTAATTACGGTACAATGACATCCCTCTCTCCCCCCCCCCTCCCCACCAACCCCTCCAATGCTGATTCTCTTTACTTAGAAGTTTCTTTAAGTACTTCTAATCCTGCTGCCACTTGGGGTATTGGAGTGAAACTTCTTTCCTTTATTTACTTGGAAGCTGTGTCATATTATGCGCTATAGGTAAATACTTTTTTTAAAAGGCCTTTTTCCATATTGATATATCTGCGGCGAAAAGGTCATGTAATGCTATGCGGTGCGTGCAAATAATGCTCCTTTTTTGTGATGTTGCCCGCTTGTTGAGTTTTCTGCCTGGGTAAAAAAAAAGGGGGGCGTTATATATCAGCCTCTGTTTCGACTCCCTCGTTCTCACCTTGCTGGTAAAAGTTAAAAGAAATTCCATAGCTAGGGTAGACAACATAACAATACGTACCACTTAACCTACTGCCTATAAAAAATGTGCATTTGAGACTATCTTGAATACTTGAGGTGGATTTTAAGCGCGAGAAATAAAGGCCTTTGGTTGCTATATGGATACTGGAGTGAAATTGGCGTTGAGGAGCTTTGTCTACGTGACGAAGAGAATTGATGTGTGCGGTAAGATCATTTTTGTTTATTTCTAATCCTTGCAGTCTTGGGTAGCGATTTTATATTCCTTGTTGTTTAAAAGCAGATTCTACTTGTGTATGCCATGGTAAGGGTTCGAAGCAAAGGCTTTTCTATTGATATAGAGCGGAGTCAGATACGCTTTACACAACATCAGGTGCATCAGGTGGGGTTCAACAAGAATCAGCGCTGTAAAATTCAAAGGGGGCACGGGATATTAGAAAGTTTGGGTTGTCACTTTTGTGAACAAAATTGGTTTATGAGAATCTTCAGATTACTCCGTCTCTCCCCCTCTCCCTCTTAACATCACTCCCCGCTTCTCTCTTCCTCCGTCCTCCCCCCCCCCCATCTCTCTCTCTCTCTCTCTCTCTCCCTCTCTCTCTCTCTCTCTCGCATTGCCGCGTAAATATTTCAATATTTCCATTGTACAGTGCATCCTCGATCGTGATTCTCGTGTCTGCTTCAAATTACGCTCCTTTCTAAACACGGCAACTCAAGACATGAAAATAGCGCAAGTACAATAGAAGTACAATAAAATAATTTCTTTCAGCTGGGCTACACACGGATTCATGGTGAACCCCAGTGCGTGTGCCAAGAAACCTGTCCGCGTCATATTATAGCTGTGCTGCTTTTCCCTGCTTTTTTCAGCGAAAAGGTTAAATAGATTTGGTATATACACAATAACGAGTTGAATTCCCATACCAGTAGGGGCGTGATCTCTGTATATAACTTACTGAGAACTTTCTCCAGACGCTATGTCTCTCTCTCCCTAGATAATTGTATTAAAAAGTTTTTATTTTATATTTTTATTTATTTTTTATTTTATTAATTTTTTGGAGGATAAAAATGTTTGCTACTACAAGCAACACTATGATGCAATTATGCGATGTCTAAAGATTTATGTGAAATCATGACCCTTCTGACGATTCTTTTAAAACTCTCACTTCTGATTGAACAATCTTTGTGAATCGAACTCACTTAAACTGTGTCGCCTTTTTTCGCGTCGAGGATCTCAAAATACAGCACTACTTTGTGCGCCTGGCGCCGGTAAACGAAGTGGTATTCCCTGCACAAATATACCGCGTCAACACAACTTCGTGGCTGTGGTCTACCTTCTACCGTGGTGGCAGATTATATAGGGAAAAACGGAAAAATCCACAGAGCCATATGACTGTTTATTTATCTATGAATATCTGTGAAAAATCAATCTGTCGCCCTGATAGAGGGTAGCTGTGGGCGAGGCTACTTATATTTAGTTATTTAATCAACACGCAGAAGACTATATTAAGAAGGCAGTGTTACTATGGTAGACTTCCTGGCACATTAATTATAGAATATTATCTATCTAATAATTAAACTTTATTTTTGAGGGTAAAAACATGGAAAACATAAAATTTATCTTCCACGTCGCCTTAAGTATGTAATTAAGGTGATTCGTGCTCTTTATAGCCTGCCGATGGCGCATGATTTCCCTAAGAGTTACAACTATTTGTACTTTTTGTTTTTGTCACTGGTAGAATACACTCTCTTCCTCCACCGTCTTATTAAAGCAAGATCACCCCATTCGGTGAATGGACGAAAGCATATCATATAGCGACCACGACAGTCCTTTTTTAACGAAAATCTGTTCCGAAAAAAAAAACATACACACAACGCCATATGGCTAGTGCTATCCCAAACACAAAGCTCACGTCATTACAGTAAATTGAGTGTTTGGAAAATCAATCAGAATGAATGAATAACACGGGAAAACTAATGGAATAATGTACAATAACACTTAGTGTACTACTGATGGTAAAACCAGATATTACTGAGTGTGACACACCGATCAAGAATTTAATGCACTTAATAACATCTGAGAAAAACGCAACCTGTTTTTACGTTTTTTGAAACATTCAGCAATACATGTAAGTCACATTGTGAAGATAAAAGAAACAGCAATATTGAAATATTTTAAAGATGAAATTTAAGTCATCTTTATGATTAAAGGCATTGAGGCCAAGACATCAGTTTGAAATA